CTCGTCCCTTTGTTTTGTCGTCTCCTTTTTCTCGCCAAAGTTTCTTCCTTTTTAGGTTGACATTTCCATTAGTCAAATTACACTTGTAATGAAATTTTTAGTTAGTATACACTCAAACTCTAAAGTGTGACATTAATAATGAAATGATGGTGACAATTACGATGCGGTCATCAATTCTTCGGGAAAACAAAAGTTGTCCACAAGATTGCAATTGAGCTAGAGAAAATCCTCAATAATTCTTGATACTTTTAGTTACAATTTTAGACAGAATATTTTTTCATATTTCAGATTCACAATCGAATCGAAGATAAATGATTTATGCCGGTGGATATGCCATGTTATTTCTAGATCTAAGAAAATGTTTAAAGTCAAATGTTCATAATTTTAAAAATAATATATTTTTCAGGAAAGACTATTGTATTTGTTGGACGGACATAAATACGATATCTTACTAATATATAATGGGCTTAGCGGATCCATAAATGGGCTTGTATGGGCCTATATTAGTTTGACTAAGAAAGCTCAAACACTGTGGAAACAGAGAGGCTAATGCACTAAAAGGTGGATGATGCGTCACATTTGAAATCGATTCTCAATATTACTAGGATTGTTGTCACCGCTCGAACTCTACAACGAACAATTTAATCCGCAATAATATTACAGAATTGAATCCATGATCTTTGATCATTTGTATATATCCTATGCATTTGATCACATTTTGAAAAAAGTTCATCACACTAACTCTTGTGTAGACACTTTTAATTCATCAGTTTATCATTGTATAACGAGGAAAAAAAATAATAAAAGTGAACTCGAATGTTTTTCTTTAAATTTAATGGTAAGCAAATTGAAAGAAACTGATTTGAAAATTGGGTGGTGGTGATCCAACATATCATAGGTGGCAAACTACTGAACTGTCAGTTATATATTCGCAATTTTAAAATGGTTATATACTAAAAATCGTCTTGTATATAAAAATAACCAAAAAAAGAAGAAGAAGGAAATAGGGTTACTCATCAATCTGTCATTTGATATAGAAAGCGACTAACGTCACAAGTTGACATTACCTTGAAAAAGAATTACAGTGGAAATCTTCTCCCGGCCGTCGACCTAAATATTTGATATTGACGATTCTAACTTTATCAAACATTACTGCGATATAATATTTTATCTTTTTATATATTTGTAACGATTGATGGAAGAGTTTTTATTAGAGGTCGAGATCAACCGAGATTGAACGGTCCAGATGACCAAACCAAGATTATGAAAATAAAGAAGATTTCCAGAAGATTGTCAATATCAAATATAATAGGAAAGTTAATATTTATGTATAAATTAGATTTCATATATCAAAAATGTAAAGAATTTGTTTAACAAATTATATTCTTGTATAAATAAACCTATTGGCTAGTGAATAAAACGGAGAAAAATTATTCCACTACTAAGGTTTTCTCCAAATCTATCAATTTTTTTTTTTTTTGTATATAGGTTAAAATGTTTATGGTACACCTGTTATAAACATGACATGATGTGAAATAATGAATATACAGCTCTTTTCATTTGACGACAGAGACCTTTTCTAGATATGGTAAAATACTTGAACCAAAATATAGAATACGATTACATAAACCAAATACTATATACATAAAAGACAATTAACTAGTGAATTGAATCGGACCGTTTCAAGCTTCAACCATTTTACCCGTTAAACAATTTATCTATGATATATAGACCGTCGTCATTATAATGAACTACAATATTTAAATTCAGTTAAAATTGTTATAAAAAAGAACATGAAAACAACTTTCTTGATTGTAGGTGTATTATTTACTGATTGATATACAAATACTTACAAACTTAGTCTTGTTTTAGCCATTGCAACTTTTGCATAGCAATCGCATATTTGTAATTGTATGGATTATTTCTATTGGAGATACCTTAGATTTCGACTGTCTACTTACTGTTGGCACAAATTTGGATTTCACTTTAGAATATCAAGATATGGATAGATATGAATTAAATAGGCCAAAGACAAAAAAAAAAAGTGTGTTCTTTTCAATTTATTAATGGATTAAGAAAAAATAAACATAATATTTTATCAGAAGACATATGAAGGAACCATGCATTTTGATAAACGAATTTATCAAATTTATCACTCTTTCATTTACAAAATAAATGTTGGTTGTAATAACCAAATTATTAAATTCTATAAAAACTGAAGAGTAATGGTATGTATATATACATATATGCCAACTATTTACTTCGTCGTCTTATGTTAAATACATATATTTTTGGTAACAACGTTTACACTATCTGTATATACTATTATTACTTGACATTTGCTTCGATTTACACAGACGAGTTTACGTGTCGACACAAAGAAAACGAGTTGTGTTTTTTTGTGTGTCTACACGATTGTGTATTTTAACGATAATCGTGTATTTTAACGATCCCTACACCATATAATGAATGTAAAATTAATCACACTT